GCCTTATACCTAAAGCTCTAATTGAAATAATTTATAACTACAATATACTTATTAAAATAGTCTTACAAACTATTATTCAAATACTTTTCAACATTAATGACCAAATCTATAATCAAATATAGAAATCTTACTGTATTGACTTTTCTAACTTAAAAAAAATAATAACATTATATCTCTTCTAAGCTCTAACAATAATCATATCTCTCAACAAATATGACAAATTAGATATCACAAAAGATCACATATAAACTATATATACTTATGTCTATGTGAAATAACAAATTAATTACATTTATATCCTAATATCTGTTCACCAATTGAACAAGTTATTAGAAAAACTAATATATAGTTGACACTTTGGATTAATTATAATACATCTTACAACTATATTTTAATATTACAAATCTAGGTAGACCTTGATCACTATAGTCAGTTTAGGTTATAAATAAAACTGTCTAAGCTTTAATTCTTATATGTAGTTTTTATTTTGTAGTTTACAATCTTAGTATATCTTAGTATAAAGTATATTAATATATACAACTAAAATTACTAATAAAGATATGAGCAAGGCCTTATCTTAATACCAAAAAAAAATAAAATAAAAAAAGAATATATTGTTTTATATAATATAATACATCTATTTTATTTTATTTTTTTTAAAAATATTATGATGAGTACTTGTAATTCAGGATTTTATTGTTAGTATATTTGGCCAATAATTGCATTACAATCACAAGAGTCAACTATAGAAAGAGTGTACAACTAATCACTTATACAACTTTAGTCATTGTCTAATTTAAGTAGTCTACTTGAAGATTCTACACTAGCTGCTATACCTGAAACCTACTTGTAGGTTCTCTATTTAATTACTCTAGTTTCTATATCCACCTATTTATCTCTGCCTACTAATGACTCTGACTGATGCTGATGAAAATATGTTATGACCATTAAGTCTTTAAAACAATTCCTTAGAATTTTTGATCTTGTACTAAATCTTTCAGAATCTTCTGTATCTCATTCTTATAACTGACTCAGTATCACTATGTTTGAGACCAACATTGATGGTTAGGGCATCTATTAAACCACTATGACCTTGTAGAGTCCACCTTAATCCTGATACTAACTTCATAATATTCTTACTACTTTGGTATTTAATTCAAATTCTACCAAGTTATCATTCCAGATAGTTTAGAAAGGTAGATTATAATTATATTTCTGATTTACATGTTTACCAGCATGTAATCTTTTCTTCTAAAATTCAGAAATTCCAGTGATCTAGTTGGTTCATTCTGTTCTTTTTCAAAGACTGTCATATTTAATTAGTTTTATAAGTTCTAATTCTGTTTTATAAGTCTAATCTTTACAATAATACTATTGAAAGTTCAGGTTACCTCTCTACTTAGATCTTCCAAATAGGCTTTCATCTTTCTATCTGGTTTCTGTGATTTACATGACCTAAGGACTTATCTTGGGTTTACATCACCCAGTACCAGTTTGTATTTCTTTATACAATGTTGTATGAGTGTCTAGACCTTTCAGTTATGCTGGTATGACATGAGTTACAGATATCTAATCTCAACTAATCACAAAAGACAGTTAATTGTAACATAGAAAGAATTACAAATTTTTACCATCATTGGGATTTGAACTCTAGACCTGCCACTTGAGAGGTGATAACCTATCCACTTCACTAGATCACTACACCTCTACATCTATTTTATTTTCAGAATCATGTTTTTATAAATTTTATAATATTTTATTATATAAAATTTTAAAATATCAAAAGTAAGATTTTTTATAAAATTAAAATTTTGAATTAAAAATAATGATTTTTAAGAACTTTTAATAATTTTTCTATAAAATTTAATCTCAATAAATTTCAATGAATGGTTATAATATAGTTCAAAAATGCATTACCATAAATAAATTTTATTTATTTTTTTTTATTTTTCATTTAATAAGACCTAAAGTGCTAAAAATAACCCCAAAAAATTTATCAAATTTTTTAAAATTCTCAAATTATATACTAATTGTTATGTTAAACAACTTTGCTTACTATGCAAAGACCAATTTGTATATAAAAAAATTATGTTTTATATATGGTTATGATTATTCTCCAATTAGGTTAAACCATCATGAAACTCAAAATTCCAGTAATCACTGTTAGGGGAGTGTACATAATAAACACTAACACTAGTACCGTTACGAACCCTGTAAACCTTCATAATCACTGTTGTTCGTTCAAGTCATTCATCATGTGACTTACCTGCTTGTCTTCGTTGACCCAACATAACCGAAAGCCTTAATCACCCACCAGCAAATCTAGCACCCTCTTTCGTAAAGGTTACCTATAGTACGTTACACGAGAATTCGGATTGTGGAGCGACTGAGTCGCAGTTTTCCGAACCGAACAGTATCAACTTTATTTCATTTTCGGATAAGTTTGAAATGTTTTTCGTCGTTGAAAAAATCTATTCTATACACTTCATTTCATTTTCTGAGCTCCAAATTAAGATATGCCAATAAGATGCGCCAATAAGATGCGCCAATAAGATGCGCAAATTATTTTTGATAATGAAATTTATATGTAAAAATTATTTGCTCAGTAAGTACAGAAGTACATTTAAGATCACTCTTATCATCACTTAGAAACTATTAACTGTGCGTAAAAATCTGGTTATACATTAATGAAAAACAAACTTTAATTTCTAAACTTTAATTACATTTAACTTTATTTGACTTTATTTTCTTTGTATTTGGATTATTTCGTATTCTGTTACTGAAAATTTGCAGTTTGCATTTCTAATTGCTTTTTCATAACTACCATGACCATAAGCACACCCATTATCTTGATTAAAATTATCACACATGAAAAGATCACCAAAACATGGACCATGAATAGAACCACAATAAATTGCATATTGTGGGTTTTTTACACGAATTAAAATAGAGGAACTCATAGTACCATTTTTCAATGAAAAAATAAAGCTATCATTGCAATTTACCCATTTTTTAATTGATTGATCCCATGTTAACGGATTATAACCACCAAGAATTTCATCGGAGTTTTTAACTTTCATTAACACAATAGTATTTGCTTGCTTATCACATTTTTCCCAAAATGATTCTTTAGTAAAACCATCTCTGGTTCCACGAAGAAGTAATTTAAACTCATACGGATTATTTTCTATTGAATATGCTTCAGCTTTCTTATCAACCCATGTCGCAATTTCTGCTGCATGTTCTTCAGTAATAACTGTTGAAAATGGATCCATCATATCTGCTATACGTGTTGGTAATTTTGGTTTTAAAATTACTCGAGGTGGAAGGACTGTTGATGATATTTGTCGATTTGGATTTACAGCTCTTTTCATTATGTCTTTCCAAAGATCTCTTTCTAAGATTGTTTGGTATGGTTCTATATATTCAACAATGTCATCTCCGGATATTTGGAAATAACGGATATGAGGTAAATAATTCTTTAATGTATTTTTTAAAGCTAGAAACTTTTCACCAGTCCAATTTTCTGGTTCTTCAGATGATAAATATGGATTTTGTGCGATTCCCCATTTGACGACATAATTCCAAATTTTTACTTCTTTCATTTGTAAATCATCTCGTTTAATAAGAGTGACTAATGCATTTTCTTGAAGTGTTGTAAAATCTTCTGAGTCAAAAATCTTATTCGGATACTTTACCAAAAAATCATTACACCAATTTTGTAAATTTTGATGCTGATTGTTTTGAAAGCTTCTTTGATAAACACGTGTAAAATATAAGCGGAGCCAATTAGCTTCTGTTTTAATTAAATGGTTTTCAAAATTTTTAGCCAATTCTTCTAAAAGAAACTCTGAAGCAATAATCATGAGTTCAAAAATTAATGATGCTTCTTGATTTTCCAATAAAACCACTCCTCCGTAAATATATCTATTATAGTTGTATATTTAGATTTTAAGATTAGTTTCGTTTCTTGATGCGTATTAATATATTATTAAAAACATATACAAATATAAGATAGTAACTTACTTAATAATAATTTCAAATTGTTGAATTGAAATATGGTTTAAATTAATTGTTTTGATATTATTTGTATCTTTGTTAACATTTGCCAATTTATTACGAAAATATAATGATCTATATTTTAAAATATTCGAATGTGCTCGAAATGTTTTTGTATTTGACGATTCTCCAACATTAATGATTACATTAAAATCTTCTTTATCATCAAGAAGTTCAAGGTAATCGGTCGAAAGTTTTTCTAAGTGCTTTACTGCCATTTTTATTTTTAAGTTTCGTAGAACGTAAATCAAATCCTGATAATATCACACTACTGTAACGGTTGTTACTTGAGGGTTATCAGATATATTGATGGTATATCGGTCTTCCAATTGTTTTATAGGGTATTTATATTATTTGTGAGCAAAGACGTTCTTTATTATTCAATAGGGCTATTTATAGGACTCTCTTTCTACATAGAATCGTTTCGGTCCTTTTATAGTATATACTATCAGCTCTTTTGATTACATATTTAGCTAAAAATTAATATACAATTATATTATTATTAAAGTGTTCTATTGACATAATAATACATTGTGTCAATATGACTATATATTCTATCAGTACTACGTACGATAATCAGTCGGTCCTAAGCAGATTGCAATATTTTTTCTTCGTGAGCCACTAATTAAAGTAATTTTGACCAAAATTTTAATAGTACTAATTTATTGAAAAATAATGACAAAGCTTCTCAAAAATTCAAGATTTTCCAAAATGTAAGGGTTAGAATCGATCATGGGACTGATTTAGAACTGATACAACACTACTTAACGGAGTAGGTCTGTCATTATTTCTCAATAGGTATGTACCATTAAAATTTTGATTTAAATAACTTTAATTAGTGGCTCACAAAAAAAGGATGATTTCAGAATCTTGCAAATCTCCTTAACGTTAAGACCGACAGAACCGATTTGAACTGATCCATTACTATCATGCTAAGGTTATTACGTATCGTGAGAATCTTTACCTAGATTTTCATATGGATCTTCACATGTTAAGGGCGTAATTATGTAATCCTGGTTGCTATTTAAGGTAGGAAAGAAAATGAGGTGATATGGTATATACGGATAAGAAGAAAGAGAAGAACCAGTAGTGCTTTTTTCTTCTTTGGTCAGTTCTTTCATAGTGCTCCAACCCAGCCTTATAAGAAAAGAATAAAAAAAAAGAGAGAAATGACCAGGAGGAAAATATAAATTAGTATTACGGGCCAATATTTAGATAATAAAATTTGAGTATTGAAAAATTAGGAATTAGAAAAGAAAGAGATTGAATGAATGACAGAGTAGCTCAGGGACTTGCTTACCGACATAGTAATGGTACATAGCTAAAGTTTATTTGATTGGCTGATGCAAATCAATTGCCCGAGTAACTTATTTATACATTTTAAAGTACTTTTTGAGAACGTACCATTTCACTGATAAAAAGGTAAAAATTTCAAATATATCACTTTGTTTAAGTGTTGAAAAACCACCTTTAAAAATAATCTAAAATTCAAAAGAGTGTTAGCATAGTAAAAACTTTTCTTTAAATGGGTAAAGAAAAAAAGTTTTAGAGTAGTTTTGGAGCACTTTTTCAAACAAAATGTCTTTCATGATACTAATATAAATTGCCAAATCGATTTGTAACCTTAGAGCACTTGTTAATATTCGCTATGCAAGAAAGATTTACTTCCAATAAACTTTATTAAAAGGCAAAATATAATACTATCTATTAGATCTTGCAAAATTATAGAATAGAGGTAATTAGAAATTTTTTCATTTAAAAACTTTATTGCTATATTAAATAAACTTTGTTTAATTTGAATAGATACAAGTTTATTAGTAGTAAATTATTGGAGTTGGTTTGTTTTTCTAGTAAGTTTGTGATTAACTGTAAAATTTTTGGTTTATATTATTTATTGTATTTTTTTTTAAGAAAAAAATAAAGCGAGGCCTGCCTCAGCTTCTTTATTTATTTATTATTAGATATGAATAATATATAAGCTATTTATATAAAACTAAGGCTTGGGCTAGTTTATTCATAATTTAAACTTTGTTAAAAGGGGTCAAGGTTTTACCTAGTTATTGATTATAGCTATATAGTCAAGATTTTATTATTTTGAATAAAGAGGCCTGCTTAATTATTAATTTTTTCTTAAATAGTGTTAATCTAGATTATACTAATGATTGTCTAATTGTTGCTATTTATTGCTATATTTGTTATGATATTTGTACTTGTATTTATTGTTATTAAATTATTTTTTATTTTTTATTTTATTAAAATTAAAGTTTCTGCTTTTGGGAATTGATCTTTTTATTCAAGTATTTGGACATAAATGCTTTCAGGAATGTTTATACATAGAGGTTACAACTAGTTACATGTGCATTTTTGGTGCCTAATTTAAGTAGTTTGTCTATATATTACTATACAGATTCTATACTAGATGTCATACTTATAAGTCAACTATGGGTTTTGCCTATTTAAACTTTCTGCATATGTAGTTCAACTTGTATTATAGTAACATCTTTAAGGCTACACTTATCCAAAATACCTAATACTTTCAAGACCTTTTGAACTATTTTATCATTAACAAAAAACTTATTAGAACCTTTTATATTCTATATACAATCAATCTAGTTTTATGTAACTTGTTATAGTTATCTAATACTTGTAGTTATTGAGGTTATTTATTTAACTAGTATGTTATACTATTTTTACTCTTATAAAGTTTATTAGAATTTTAGTACCTGTTATTGCAACATCTTCTCTATTATTTTCTACTAATTGCTACTTAATATTAATAGGATTTTTTTAACTTACAATCTAGATAATCTGTTATAATATATATATGTATCTTTTTTTTCAACAATTCTGGTAACCTGGTTAGTCATATGTTCTTTTATATATTTTGTTATTCAGTTTATTTATTTATTCTTTTAAAAGTATTTTATAAGTTTTTATTAGTTTAACTATATTGTTTTAAGTTTATATTACTTATTTATTTAGAAATTTTTAAGTAGATTTCTGATTCTTTAGTTTCTTAGTTTATTGTACCTAGTTGTCTTATTATAAGTTTGCATTGAAGTCTTATGCAATAATAGTTATTAATATTCCTTCATATATGTGTAACATTATACTTTGCATAGATATCTTGTGCTCTTATTTGAAATAGTGTAATTTAAGATTACAGATACATTAATTTAATTAATTATTAAGAGACAATTTGTTATAATATAGATATAATTTTTTAAATTTTATTGTTGATAAAATTTGAATACTAGTTATATTATTTGAAAAATGACAACTCAATCATTATACTATGATTATTATTTTTATTAAATTATTTTTTGATATCATTTGATATTTAGATATTTATATTTTTTATAAATTTTTTTGTTTATTTTGTATAGTAATGTTATTATTAACTTTTTTGGTGACCAATCACCTAACTCTCCTTATAGATCACTAAAACTAACTTTTCTCTAACAAACAATTCTACTTTTCTCAAATATTTTACTAAATTAATAGCTCTTAAACTTCTAATTAAACTTTTTCCTTACAACTTTCTATTTTAAAAATAATACAAATTTATTCATACTTAATCTTTCAATACAATAAACTTTTACATTTTAATAAAATTATTTTTATTTATATTCTTTTTAAATTTCTTTAATTTATACTTAATTAAACTTTTTTACTTTCAAGTAAACTAATTATACTAAACTTTTTGCTTCCAACTATACTAATTTTGCCAAATTCTAACTATTATATTATATACTAATTAGTATTTTCTAAAAAACCTACTTTTTCAATTTCTAATAAATTTTACTGAGCAACCTTATTCTCTCTTATTAAACAAAACTATTCAGCTTATTGAGATGATTATTTTAACATAAATTTCATCTTTAACAGATCAAAACTTATTAAGTTATCAATATTTCTCTTCAAACTTCTATCTAAACTTTTTTCTGAAATTCTATTGGTCAATTTCAGAAAATTTATAGGGATGTCTTGAAAATTTCACTTTTTACCAATCTTAAAATATTCAAATTCCCAATATTTCTTCAAATTCTCTCAAAGGAACCTGGAAAATTTACTGGCTCTCTGGAAAATTCATTGGCAATTTTGAAAAATTTAATTTTCTTGTTTAATTTTTATTTTTTTTACTTTTTCTTTTTTGTTACCTATATTAAAAATACTTAACCTATACTATAAAATATTTAAAAAAACTTTTTGATATCATTGTTCCAAGCTATTTACAATTTTAAACATCTTTCTATTATTATCACTTATAATTTCAAAATGAATCTATAAACTACAACCTAACAAGATCACTGCTTAGACTGGTTCAAAAGTTATTCTATCTTAGAAAACTTTTCTTTATCTACACTTATGATATCTGAAATTTAAATATTAGATTTCTTAAACTAATCCTCAAAGATTTTTATTCTAGTTTAATTATTAATTTTACAACAATCAACAAACCAGCTGTAAAAAGTAATTTTAATCTATTAATTCAAACTATAGCAACTAAAAAACTTAAATTTATTATTTATTATAAAGCAATAGTTAGAAATAATTTTTCAGATAATAACTTGTTATTGTCTAGTATAGTAAATTGTTCTTAGGTATTTTTAAAAACAATTAAATAAATTAAAATTTAAAAATTTAGTTTGTAATTATTATAGATAAAAAATATTAAAATTAATATTTTTTAATAAAGATTATTAATACAGCTATATAAGTAAAATATATATACAAAAAATATTACTACTAAATTCCTACACAAGCTGTCTCAAAAAGTTTACGAACAAATATGAAAACTATATTATACAAAACTGGCACAATAAAAAACTGACAACAATATTCTACTGTATACCAAAAACCAACAAAGAAGATCTATATAAACTAATAATAATGATATATACTATGTCAACTGACATCAATTATACAGTACAACCTGCAATTTATGTGGACTATCAAGCTTAAAACATATTGATCCAAATACTTGCCTACCACTTAGTTATGCTCTATGCAAAATTAATTTATGGCTTGATCATTGGATACTTTATAGCTATCCTACAAACAACATTTTATACTATCAAATCTAGGTGAGTTTTAACCATTCTAGTAGGTTTAGATTACAGATAAATTAGATAGATAATAGTTAGTTTCTTTCTATAGTCTGAACTTTACTTTTGTAACAAATTTGTAATTAGAATAGATTTTGTAATTTATATTCAGAGAAGCCTCTGGAGACATCTTTAACAAATTAATAAAGATATAAGCAAAACCTCACCTTAATTCCAAAAAAAAAAAAAATATATATATATATATTATAACTAGGCTTCAAACATTTAATTTTTTATTTATTATAATAGTCTAAAGTTTATTTTTTATATTATCATTTAATGTTTATATTTTTAATATTGCTATATTAGTATAAAATTAATAATACAGCTAACTAAATTCTTTAATTTGTTTATAATTATAACTTAGTTGACAATAAGTTAATAAATATATTATATCAAGTAAAAATCTGATCTTTTAATTAGGATACTTAGATTTTATTTTGCTAAGCAATTTAACTAATATTATATAGATGCCAATTTATTATTACTATTAATGTATATTTGCAACTAATAAAATAATAACTAGGATGTAGCAACTTAGTGAAGTGATCAGGTTGTCAACTCTTCAAACAGTAGATTAGGTGTTCAAATCCCATCGACAGTAAAAATTTAGATAATTACCCATGTAATATTCATATTACAATAATTTTTTTTTTTTTTTTTTTTATTATTATTATATAATATCAAGTAGGAAAATAAAAGTACATGGATATATCAATTAGATATTAATATATAACTAATTGTTATTTCTAAACTATACTATTGTTACTATATATTAATGACATCTAGTGTGATATTATCCTATTATTTTCTGTTATTAGTTAAATTAACTTCTGTTAATTATTAACTACAAAAAGGAATAAAAGAGAAACAGTTTAATTAATAAAAACAAGTATATATATTGAAGTTTTAACACAAAATTTTAGAAATAAAGATATCTATATTAGTATTGAATATAAAAGTAGTATTATTAATATTTGAAGATTGAGCAATAGGTAAGTGGAT